GAGCGAAATTTTTACATCTGGATAAAGTTATATATTTTCTTGATATCTATCATTAGGGTGCCTTTATCAAATACGGATATCAAGTCTAAAGATCAAAGATTATAACATAAAGTGAATATGTAGAATGGCACACAGTTTACGTATGGCCTGGAAACTTGATAATGTGACATGACTGTACGATGTTTAACTCGAAAAGTACAGAAATAGTATTTGAGGCAATGTTTCTCCTAGCACGTCACATCTGTTAAAAATGATATTATTTTTTAATATATTATAGGGTTAAAATATATATTGGCGTCATTATTTGCACGTTCTGCTCATCTTTAGGAGCTGGTATCCATCACAAGCGATCATGTTAAATGAGATTGGGGCTGGGCACTAAGGACCGCCTATATATAGGACGCTCAATGACGGCCTCCTTATCAGGTGCTGTCGGGTCCTTCAGCTTGCAAGCATTGAGCCTTGACAAGCAAACTGCCGCGCCCTAAACGCATGTCTTCACAGTTGACGTGACGGCAGATTTTTAGTATGATTGATGTATGAAATCAACGTCACTTTTGACGCGCATAAACCAAGAGCAATGCGTGAGCAGTGGGCACTTATTTGATATAAATCTTTTCCTTTCCGGTTAGCATGATATTTTGCACGAATGACAGTCAATTAGCGTCCACCTATTTGATGAATCGGTCCAATTTTAATTATTTGATCATGCAACCACAAATTGCTTAGAATCCGTCGCCCGGATTAAATTAGTACAATTTTAGTTCAAGACATTTTTACTTCCATGTATTTCAATCAAGTATAGCCCGCACAGAAGTGGGTTTATAGCATGAACACGAAGGTATTCTTAAAATTTCTCTTGTGTGATAGCGAATGAAATTTCAGGTATATGATACGGAGAATAATAAACAACCCCAGACTACAATCTTCCTTCTATCCGACCATGCGGCTAAATTTACACCACCTTTTGATTTATTTTAAATTTCAGTAACGGGACCTCTAGATTTAATTATCTCCTCACTGTTTGCTTTGGCAGTCCACGGCATGTCCTCATCTCCTGCTTTAGTAATCATAAAAATATTTGTGTCTCCCATGGGTGTATGAAGTACTGGCCGGGTACTAATTAGGAAATTCTGGTCCCCGTCAAATTTTGCTGGCCACTAAACTTGCGATGACGGCAGTAAAAAGTACTCCGGCATTTCTAATTAAGTTCAGCATTGCTGGAAAAGATCGTGGAATAGCGATGCGAAGGTCAGAGAACAGTAAAGCCATAAATTATATCAAGGAACAGAATTGACAAGGTTGAGAAAAAATTAAGTGGAACCTTGCGAGAAATCATATCATAGTCATGTTTTGAGATACCGTCAACATATAGTTTAAACACGTACGTTTCACAAAGCATTCTTGTAAACATTTATTTATGGAAGCGTCAAGACAAATATTTCTCGATATAAAAACTTTGGGAGGTGTCTGTAGAAACTTTTGAAATAGGAGAAACGTGAAAACGTATTTTATCAAAATATCTTTAATGCCGATTTTTCCGTACATCGATTTTGAAGTTATGTCAAATTTTATACTCCCTCCCATGTCATTATATGTACCGTTTTAACATGTCATGCTTTTTGTCAAGGCGGTTTTCAACATAGATGCCAAAAATTTCAGTACAACGGTGGTACTGGTTTAAGCCCAATTGAAAAAATAGAAAGCATATGTTGCAAATAAAATATGTATGTATCTCACACTCTTAAAATAATAAAACACTTGCCTCCGACCTCAAGCCTGAAGGGCCTGAATCTCTATATGAGTAAAAAGGTCACGAATTTCGGTACCTTCAAACATGGCGATAACTTGCTACGCAGTTCTGGAAATACGAAGCACAATTTCTGGTCTGTCTCGAGTGCACTATAAATGTGGGCGAGAAAATCCAACCTCCGGAATTGTCGGCCGTGTTCCTTTTCATCAATGACGCGTAGATATTACGGCCGCGATGCTAAAGTCCAGCCACGTAATCCGTAGTAAGCCTTTCATCACTTTGCTGGGAGCTCCAGGGAATTCCCCCTAGATAGACGAACTTGCATTGGAAAAAATTCGAAATTCATTGGCAATTGATAAGTTGTTACTTCATTGTACGAATTGATGTACCTTTTCGTACCAATTAATTTTTTTAATAGAGGACAACACGTCATTGGAGATTTTTCGAATGATAATAATTTATTAGAGTGATTTAAAAGTACATGATATAAAAGCAGTATACAATATTGTAATATTTCCAAATAAAATTATCCATCGAAAAACGAACAACGTTTGTAAATGAAGCCTTATTAATTCGTGATTCCTTCTGTTACCCATTTGCAAGGAATTCTCACAGGCAATTCAATAGCTGGTATTCAACAACATGCATGAAGCTTATCGGCAAGACTGAGATGGATGATCGTACGTGATCGTACACGAGATGTAAGCGCTTCAGTCTGCGTTTGGATGTGGCCGAGGTAGGGTGTGTCAATAAACTGTCTAGAACCCATCAATGAACGGCCTCGACTTCATCATTGCTGGTCTCCGGCAACCGTCTAAACATGGTCAAAAAATGAATGATATTCCCAAATAATCCTCTGCATTGCATGCCTCTCACAATGAGTAAAATGCCAGTTTTAAATACGACTGATGTGCATGAAATAAAATGAATGTAAACAACATTCCACAAAACGCGTCTTTTATACAAGGAACGCAATGTTTTCAATAAATAGTAGCATAGAATATTAATTCGAACGAGAAACTATCAGTATGTGATGTACACTCCTGCATCGTGAACATCTGTCAATGCAACTGAAAACTTTGTTTAAAAAGTAAATATATGCGCTTACTGATTGCGTCTCGATATAATACTGATGAAAGTTACCTTTTTATTCAAAAGATTCTTTCATAATTATGAAAGTGAAAAAATGAAACGCACGATGCGGTATAAATCCGTATATGAACATTTTTTGGACAAACTCAGAGAACCAAATTTGTAGCAAAATTTTTAAGATCGCCGTGGGTAAATTTCATAAATAGAAGCAGGTTTTGATTTCGCTAGATGTTTTAACTCGATCTTGAACAAGCCACGAATAAAGTTACGTAATAATTCTCAATTTTTATTGTAAATGGGAAATCGGTTTCATACTGACGTTTAATACTAGGCCTCACAATTTCTCCTACGATAGTCAAAATGGATCTGGTAATTTAATAATTTAATCTATATCTAAAAATTAATGGCGATTGGGTGCACTTGTTTTCTGCAATTATTAGGTATCACTGAATTGATGGAATTTAATTCATGCAAATGGTCATGCAAAATATATTTTACAAACGTTTCTGGTTGAAATATTCATTGAAACGAATCTAAATTTTAAAATTGGCTGCGAGGGAAAGCTTAATTACATTCGGAAATACTCGTAATTACTATAATTCTATTAAGTATTAATGAATTTCAATTAATTCCATGGCACACTTTCTTTTCTCAATAAATAATTACTTTCGCGTTTGCGTACCACCGCTTCCAAGTTATTTTGCCTCTCGCCTCAATTAAGCTACGCAGATTTAAATTTTAAGTTTTCAATTAGTATGATCCCTTAAAAACTTGTGATTAATTTTACCAAAAGTTCGAACGTTTTATATACAAGTTCAATATATTTGATTGAAAGCACATTCCAAACTGACCCCATCAGTTCAGCAATCAGAAGGACAGAAGTTATGACTGCCAAATTTACAGGTGAAAATGTAAAACGCAGATTGAAATAATATATGAGAATTTATTAAAAATACATGGTAAAAATGATAACTGTGCCCATATGCTACAAATTGCTATAAGATGATGATGAAAATCAGTTAAATCTCAAAAATATGCAATGATTCCACAATTATCAAGTCACGTGCTAATGACATTTGCATGTTTAGCTAATTATTGCTGCATTCTTAAGCCACTATATAATGCTATGTTGATGAGCGAAGTTCAATCACCTTCTCAAAAACAACGTTTTTAACTCTGCTTGACATGGGGAGAATTGAAATTTTGAAAAATTCAATATATATTAGACATAGACAGAATTGAACCTTTTGTTTCACTTATCAACTAAGTTATTCAATTATTAAAGTGGATGATGTGGACTTATTGGTGGACTTATTTGAATTCACAATAACAAAATTGAGATCGGAATTATCTGCATCATTAACTTTTCACGAAGGAAATTTTTTTTATCTTGACTTAAGGTCGCACGACAATTTCATCAGAAATCAATTTCTAATTTACAAAAGTTAAAAAAAAATATCAGCAACTATATATTGTTCGTCAGAACTGAATGCCTTTCCTTCAAACTTGGTATCGAGAAGACACTTTTGTCCCCGATTCTCTTTTGGTTCAAACCGATGGCTAAGAACTTTTCCCATCAGGTCCTGAGACAATGGATGCTTCCATCAATTCCTTAATGGAAATTTTTAACGCCAACGAATGTATCGTGTATAAAGTTTTTGTACTTCTTTCAAAATTTCCCATTAATAACAAGAATTTTGATCGCAAATGTTGACTTTATCTAACTCTGGATTTGTTGAGGGTTTCATCGAGATGCTAAACGAGCATCTGTATAGGGAGGTTGAATCTTCCTGAACTTCAACCTTCGTTCCCGGGAGCCTCAACTGAATGATCTGATAATAGGAACCAAATATTCCTTGTGGAGTGTCAGGCCAGAGATAAAAACATTTGTACTTCCAGTCGCGAGTTGGTTTAAAAAAACGTGACTTTTAACAACATGCGAAGAATGCGTTCACGACTGATGAGTGAGAAGAAAGGTGCTGATTCGCAAATTGAGCGAGTCCAAGTCGTTTATTCCATGCTTAATGGCAACGAACAGTTAACACCTGTTCAGGCATTATTTTTAATAATTTTATTAAAGTGTTATCGTTCATCGAATCTTAAGAATTTACATCTCTGCAACTTTTTAAGATTTCCACTTCTCTATCCAGAGTTTTCGACTAAAATGAATATTAGATTCAAAGGAAATGCATTACCTCAACAGTTAAGCGACTTCATAATTTTCTCAGAGACCTTGATGCTGGAGCCATGCAAACTAATCTCCTTATGAGTGCAAATTCATGTATCAGTGGAACACTTACACAGGCATTCTAACTAAATATTTAACTAAATACGTTAGAAATCAAATGCTATATATTTGATTTTCCACGACAAAGCCCCATCATGGAGTGGTCTGTAGCTCTCGCCCCCCACCTGTATTCGTTCGCTGGGGCCGCCCCAGGGTTGAGCTCCGCGGCAGAGTTGGCGCTGAACGCCAGCCTGCTACAGAGCAGCGCTGTTCCCTCATCTCCGGACAACGCTTCGTGGACAGACAATTTGGCAAACTTCGAGGCGAATTATACCGATGAATTATACGATCAAGGTAAGAACATGAGACCAACTAACAGTTTACTATTTGCGTGTTTTTTCAGTATTGTTGTTTTAGTAGAAGCTTGTATGCATTATTGTTGTGTATTTTTGTGTAACTGTTTGCCAATATAGCAACAATTGGAAAATGGAGTTGACAGTTCCCCAGCAAAATGTCGAAAATAGTTTGTAATGTGGGAAAGATACTTCCACACATATGTTCAGTCTTATTCTTATGGATCAAACAAGTAATCGGGAATCGTGCTTTTTCCGGGAGAGTAGCTTGTAGAGATAGAATGAACCAGGTAGCCGTAAAGGCTGGATGGTACGACTAACCGCTCATGTGAAAGCTCCTCTGTGCGTAAATTATTATCTTGCAGTGTTCGTGAATTAAGAGTCAGTTATCATGGAAATCTGTATACCCACATCGAACCCATTTGAGCTTAAAATGTATGTATACATGTGTCGCCGTGTTTTTGAATAAAGTTATCTGATTGGAACGCCTACAAGTGCCCTTTTACGAATGATAGTGATAGAGTCGAAAGTTAGCAACGCAAGAACGATCATACAGGTCTTTATTTCGGCGCCCCGACTGATGCGGCAGTCGTCCGGCTCGACAGTAATTTACCTGTAATTCAAGCTTCGTTTGGATTAGTTCTTTTTGTTAAGAAAATCTGAAATGTTTATTTGAAACATTTAATGGAATTTATGATGAATAATCAACAAGCGTAGAGACTCGAGTTATGAATTAATGATGTGACTGAACTTTATTAATAATGACCATTTTTAAACCATAACCCATCAAGGTCAAGCATAAATTCAGTTTTTAACAATATCTTGAACTAAGTAAACCTTATTCAATCTCAAAAACTATGAAAAAATTTGTTGGTACGTGAAAAAAATATTTTAAGATATATACTGATACCGTTAGCTTTCGCCACTTACATTTTTTTAAATTTATATTTTATTTTTTTACTTATATTTTTTGGAATTATTTTGTCGTGAGATTTTTGAATTATTTATTTTTTTAATTGATCCAATCAAGCAAATGTAAATCCGAATCATTCACTTGAGTTTATCGAGGTCGTAATTTAGCCCAGACCAAGACGCTTGACGACCACATTAATGGTGCCGCAGTTAATGGACTCGATGATGCAAGTTTGTTTAGTTTACAGGGCAGAGCCAAACAAGACCGGGCCTTTCACATGCTTCGTGACCAAATTATTTTTTATTTAATTCGCAGCCTGAAGTCACGATTTCTTTTCTCGAGCTCAGCATCTTCCATCATATTTTTCCTAAGCCATTTCGTCATCGCTCTATTTTTTAGGCATTTTTCCTCAACGAAAACTTTAAAAGCTAAACCTAAGATATTTTTAGCTCAAACTAGATATCTAACCTCATCAAATTTTCTCAATATGAATAATGTCTCAACGAACCATATTTTCTATCCATTTAAATGTTATTCCCCAATTATTATAAGCACATTTTCCTCAACATATTTTCAGCCCTAATAGCTGAATTGCTAAGTTGCTTTTCCACACAAATTGCCACTAAAATTTTGCACTATATTTTTGCAAGCGTATATATGCATATACAGTACCTTCATTCATAATGCAACATATTGTTCGTACAATTTCTAATACTACGGAATATGATTGAAATTATCGGTTCACTGTTCATGATGCACATTTATACTAGTTGCCTGGTGAATTCTTTTCGCTGCTGCTAAACTACAGCGAAAGACATTAATTAAACGTACGTTAAACATAAATTGCAGGACCATTGTATAAAGCAATGGATAGTATATTAGTGAACCAACGGGTTCTTTCAACATAGTGTTATTCATACCCAAAACACAACTGAGTTTTTGGATTACATAAATAATTATTCTCTGATGAACCTGCGTCGCTCGAGGCGCTTATGACTGTGGTTTGTGCCGCATTCGCACGGAATGTAAGAACAAATTTCGAACGATTGCTTCATTTATCGCACCTGCGTACGTTACATTGAAAAAATGAGTATTTGTGTAAAATAATTGAATCCAAATGTATAATTTCATGAGGTATAGAAAGTATGTAAAAATGTGTTAGATACTTCCAAAAAGGACTGCATTTCAAGTTTTATGAAAAAAAACACATGTAAAATGTAGAATTCGCCAAATGAACATGATTCAGTAGCGCAAATAAATACATCAATGTTCAATATCTGTCTTTATTATTGTACAAAGTGGCACTTCATTCAAGTGTCATGAGTTGCGGATGGCTTCAAAGAATTGATATATGGTCCATACAACACAATTTGATGGGCTAGTGCATTTGCTGTTCGCTTCATTTATTGGTGTCAGAGATTGATGACTGTTGCTATTCGTACACGCTTTAATTAAATCTAGTGCAAGCTGACAGCAGCGGTAACAGCTTTGACTGTAAGTCTGACTGACAGCTTAAGAGGTGCTGAGGGGTGAGGGCATCTGGGGAACGTCTTACGGCTGAGCTTCATTGCTTTCAATTAGAGGGCAGCCCTCATGATCAGGTTCCTTGAGCTGGGATATTGTCGGTGCCGCTAATGGTCGCCAGTCAATACTTGAGAAGAAGCTAGGTCAATGCCACGATTCTTTTCAGATATTTCTGTTTGGTCGTCGTCCCTATTTTCCCTACAATTGCTTCCTTTGCTTTATTGAATGGGTTTTATTGAACTAAAATGAATTTAATTCATCAAAAGTTCAGTGCTTCAACTTTTTCAAAAGCAATCAACTCTTAGAATAATTTTTATCTACAAATAATTGAAAAGTAAATTTTCGTCACAAAATTATTCAAATTAAAAGAATCACAACCAAATTGTTCATTTTTTCTAGTATAGAATTAAATTCGGTGAAAATATTTCTTGCCCTTTCAGAAATGAATTCTACTCTTGAAATTTAGCTATTTTCCGGTTTGCAGTGTTCAAAGTTTCATCTCTTGTACGTTGTGAAGTTTGTGACGTATTCCTGAGCAAGTGAAATATAAACAAATTCTAGGTTGTGGCCAAGGTTAATTCAGTTGTTCATGATGTTTAGATCATTTAGGACATGTTTCAAGATCATTTCAGAGATCTTGCTACAGTAATGATGCAAGGCTTAACTTGAGAGATGTTGCATCAATTAAACGATCAAGTTTCACCCTTGAAATCCTACAAGTGGTCCTCAATATCCCGGCCAAGATCCAGCATAAGGCAGGAAATGGATAACAATCATGCATGCTAATGATGTCCCTCAGAATATTCCCCAGCACGCGTTCTACAGCGACATATAAATAGGAAAAAGACACAATTTATGACTTGATTCCTCGTCGATATGAGTAATGAAAGCCACGATTTTGACTTGTGACACTTAATCAATCTAGATAACAAAAAATTAATTTATTTTTTTTTTATTTTTGCGAGTTTAACAAGAATTTTTTTATTTTTGCGAGTTTAACAAGAATTGGTTATGTTTCCAACACGAAACTCCTCATAAATAAATATTAGGAAGTGTACATTTCATAAATCTCTATATGCTGCACACAAATCTTATACAACATCAATGTAAATTTTCACGCTCAAATAAACTTTAATATTCTAATTTCTGGTCACCATCAAACCTCACTCAAAATTCACAGAAATATTCCTAAGAAGTGTAAATGTTATGAAATTATTATTAATGCAGCTTTTTGCAGTAGGTTGTGCAAGTTCCATCCAAATATGCATGTTAATTAATAAATAAAATGACGACCGACGACGCTGACAACTTATCGATTAACCAATAATCAAATCGAGGACCATAACAACTTTCAAGGCCATCCAATATGTGCTCACGACCTGCATTTTCCATTACCTGCGGTCTGAATTATCTATACTCTCCTCACCAAGTAACCAAGTTCAGCTGAAGCTTATAATTTGTGCTGAAGCATTACGTGGTACATACTTCATAGAGCAGACAAAGGCGGCCGACATCGACGGTCTAATTTATTTAACGCTTCTAACAGCCTAGTAGGAGAAATTCTTGAGTTTTAAATAAACTTTTCATTGGCTGAGGTCACTTGCCAAATTTTGTGATTGTTTTCAGAGGGTAATTTAGTACTTTAAATAAATGAAACACAATTTTTGTTTACCACATTGAAAAATTTGTGTTCAAGTGTTAATTGATTGTCGAACGTCAGCTTTATTTTGAAACACTAATGAACCTATTTTCATAGACATGAACGCAGCTCGAATGAAAGACCAAAAAGCCATCTGGGCTTCGCAACTGTCGCTGTGAGGGCTAGCACAAGTGAACAAGTGCAGGACAAGAAGATTGATTACCCAAGCCCACAGAAGAGGCCTGGCTGTTCTCGGCATGCTGGCTAGACATGGCCAACGTCATTTGTTCGTTACAGGGATAAAAGCGGCCAACAGGCAAGGCATCGGAGTACAGTGGCACTTAGGCCCTAGGATGCGAGACAATTATAGCTTCTCAACTTACGCGGACAAACCATTTGTATGTTAACGCAGTCGTTGTGTATCGGATGTTCCATGACTTCCAAAGGTAGACCGTTTGTTAATGCAAACTCATCTTTTTAGGCTATCCTATGTTCGACTGCTGAAAGACCTTCTTCGTTATCTCTACGAAGGAGCGTTTTCTATTTCTAATAAAAAATTAAATTTCTGCACCGATCGAGCGCTCCGCACTAAATGCAAAGAATTCATGCCTTCAAATCAGTGCCATTTCGATAAGAGTTGGAATAGTTTTATGAACTGCAATTGCTGATTTTGGCCTCTCTAGTGTCTTCTACGGTGTAATAAAATGTTCTAATCCGGTCAATCTTGTTCGGGTACTTTTCCGTAAATAAATTTTTCGTGATTTAACTTCCATTGCGAGCCTTGAATTAAAACTCTATGCTCCCATAAACGTCGATATCTAAGAGCAGGCACCGCAAACAATCCTCCAGCACTAAAGTTTGACCGTCAAAAGACCGAATTTCTCAATTTTGACCTGATAGGGGCCATGCATGCAGCCACTCGATA